CCTAACACAGCCTTCTGCTCTGCTCTTGGGAAAATAGCCCCCACCATTCAGTACTCACCTAGAACACTAAAAGGCACAGGGACAGTAGCTTACAGCCCTCCCCAGGCCCAGCCTGCCCCTGACCTCTAATGGCTCTACCCTCCTCCGCTTGTTTCCTCCTTATTTCTGCCCAACAGGACTCAGTGTTAAGGGTATAAGCAATGCCTTCTCCCCTGTAGGAGAAAGGGACTTGTGTTCCCAACTTGCCTGCAGTGCTGCCATTCCCTAGATCAGCTCCCCCTTTCTCTAGCATTTCACCAGCAGACCCTCTCAGGAGGCTCATCCCAGCCCTGAAGTTTGGACTTAAACCACTTTAGGAAGAGACTGCCGGATGCCAACTTCAGTGGCTAGGGAAGCCAAGGTGGAGTAGGAACAAGGAGTGGGCCGCTGGGACACAGCCCTCCACAGATGTGCTGCGCTCAGTCAACCGCCACGGATCCCTGGAAAAGCAACTTGCTCAAGGCCTGCTTTCCTCTCTTTCCTGAAGTTTACGTGAACGGAGCGCCCTGGTCCTATAGACATCATAATCCTGGGACTGGGATGTTTTCTTTGAACTTAACCACATCCCAGGAGATGGAGCCTTTTAAGCACCCCACATACAGGGACTCCGCTTTCTTTCCCACAAGACCAAAGTGCTACCCTGGCCCTGGCTGTTCTGGAACACTAATGATCACAACATCATAACGCGCCGCCCTTTGGGACAGGCCAAGAGGTGGACAGCCTGGCCGGGGGAAAGCCGAGCTTGGCCACCACCCAGCTGACTGTTGTGTCTGGGATTTGCTTTCACTCTATTTGCAAGCTAACAAGTTAGCCCGTAACTGTTTTCAAAATGCTGGCAGAAGCCGGAGCTTCCTGGATCAGAGGCAAAAAGCCTTGTTACTTGCAGCAAGCAGCCTAGACATCAGCGTGTGTTGGTTTCCTTGGCCCGGTGGGGGGGCAGTGGGTGGTACCCCCAGGAGCAGGACGTGAGCTGGGGGAACCTCCTTACTGACAGTAAGCGGCCGGCAAGCCTGCTCCTTGTCCTAGAGGGAGCTGTTCCCTCATCCCTCAAGGTGCTCACTGCAGACCCAACTCTGAGAAATGGCCCAGGTAAACAGTTGTCAGGGTCACACACTCCTGGCCTGCCCAGGAGGCCTTGTAGCAGCGGGAGACAGACCCCCCGGAGGCCTGTCTCTACCAACAATCCATCCTGCCTGCCTCCTGGTAAATTTTCACGAGTATGCCGCTCTGATTAATCTAACAGCCCGAGAGCGAATGTATTCACTTTCTCTCACACATTTATTTAAAGTGGCCTGCGAACAGGCCTGCCAGCAGCAGCAAGTCCTGCGGGTACACCAGCCTTCTGTCCAGGACCCTTGAAGGAGCGGGCATACTTCAGCCAGCCAGGAGGTAGTCGGAGACCAGTCTATCCTCCACCAGGACCCACACAAGGGACTTCAGACCGACGTGCAGCTCTCTGGTGTCCTTACCAGTAATTGCAAGGCTCCACAGCAACCCTCCTGCCAGACGGGGAGACGCTGTGGCTCATTCTTTCCCACATGCGAACACAGAATCCTGGGGCACAGTGCGCTCCAGGGAAGGATCTGTTAAGCCTGACTTGGACCACCACCTCAGGACACTGGCAGAGGCCGGGGCTGCCTCCCAAGTGTGATTCTGTCATCAGCCAGACTGGAGCAAGGCCATGCAGGTCCAGCGGTCTGTCCTTAACCAGGGTGGGGCCCACATTCAGGGGCTGCCACTGAAGGCGTCAGGCACTGCACTATCATCTGGGCCCAGCCATGTCGCTGGGCCACGCTGCCCAGCACAGGGCTCAGGGGACCAGGTGACTGGCAGATGGTGGTGCAGGATCTAGAGGACAGGCACTGGATGCACCGCCTACTGTCCGGATCTGAGGGGTTCCCTCCCCTGAGGGCTTTCCATCCCAGTAGGTAGGGCTGCCCCTCTCCTATCACCTACTCACCCCCAGACCTTTTGTTTGGAAGGATCCCGTGTGAACACAGCTGGTGTGTTTACGCAGTTCCACACACCATGTGGACCACTGCAAGGAAACTTGGCGAGCAGGGCACTCAACGACCAAGTGGTCACTGCCTTTGCGATTAGGACCAGGCAGTCCAAGGAAGAATCCAGGCAGACTCTTCAAAATTCACGTCGGTTCTTGAGGCCCCCTCTGGTCGGCCGGCCACCCAGAAGGTGCATCAATCAGGTGGGCTGGCTTGACACTGGAGGGGAGAAAGATGCATCTTACGTGTGGATGAGGAGTAAAGAATCCCAAATTTTTCAAAATAGTTTCTGTAGCTCCCAATCCCTCTGACCTGATCTTTAGCCAGGGGATGGCCTAGAAGTAACCCCGTTCTAGGGGCAGCCACAGTCGGTGAACAAACTCCTCACTCAAGTGTATGGAGCAGGAGGGAACGGTGACAGGTCTTTGCTGAGTGACTTTTTAAAAACCCATTCCACTGGGGCACCTGGGTGGCTTAGTGGGTTAAGCCTCTCTGTCTTCAGCTCAGGTCATGATCCCGGGGTCCTGGGATCGAGCCCCGCATCGGGCTCTCTGCTCAGCGGGAAGCCTGCTTCCCCCCCCTCTCTCTCTCGCTGCCTGCCTCTCTGCCTACTTGTGATCTCTGTCAAATTAATAAATAAAAAAATCTTTAAAAAAAAAAATCCATTCCACCACCTGGTGATACCAATAGCCTAGGGATGACAAAGACTGTGAAATGGCCACTGAACACCCTGGCTACTGTCCCACTGTTAGGCAGTCTTTCCAACAAGTGTACCACTATTAGCCTGTAAATGGTCCAGAAAGTCCAGATAGTCCTGGTTTCACTTCAAGGGCCACAGTGGCGTGGCTGGAGTTGGCTGCCCAGGCTGGACAGCAGCCCCAAGGCCTGAAAAAGACACGGTGGTTGAGACACCACTGGCCAGCCAAGCAGAGGCTGCAGGTCCAGCATAGTCCATCGGCCAGGAGCAAGGGGACCATGGGGCCTCCCATTCCGTGAGACAAACGGGACACATGTTGGCAGAAGTGAGTCAGCATGACGACTTCTGCATGGGAAACATGAAAGGACACTGTACGAACCTTAAAAGTTCAGTGGTCTGGGTGGTCTTGATCTTCCTACAACACAAAGTAATTTCCAACAGTTTCTTTTAAAATCTAAACACGGGGGTGCCTGGCTGGCTCAGTCCAGAGGTGCACATGACTCTCTGATTTTGGGGCTGAGTTTGAGACCCACATTGGGTATAGAGATAATTTAATAAAATCTTTAAAAATAAATAGGGGACACCTATGTGGCTCAGTCGGTTAAGCATTTGCTTTCGGCTCAGGTCATGGTCCCAGGGTCCTTGGATCGAGCCCCGCATCAGGCCCCCTGCTCAGTGGGGAGTCTGCTTCTCCTACTCCCTCTGCCCCCTGCCTTGTATTCTCTCTTGCTCTGCTCTAATACACAAAATCTTTACAAACTAAGTAAATAAAAATAAAATCCGCTTTTTATCTTTCACACGACTAAGGGAAAGACAAGTCTTGCTAGAATAGGTGGAGAAAGGCCCCCTGCTCAGCCAGAGGCATCACTGGGCTTGAAGTCCCCTGTAGGGAGCTTGAGGGCGACAGCATAGGTATAGAGGAGAGCTGCCAGCTACTGAGGAGGAATAAGGAGACAGGCAGGAAGGCAGAGGTGGACACCAGCTCTCTAAAGGAGGCTTGCTGAGCACTTCCCTTGGGCCACCCAATGCCTATGATCTCACGTAACCCTCACACCCACCCAGAGTACAGGTGAGGAAACTGGGGGTTCAAAGGAGTTGAGTGACCTGCTCCCTGCTGCACACCTGGAATGGTGGGTGGAGAGTCTCTTCCCAGTACTGCCTCCTTCCTGGGACCACAGGCTCTCTCTGAGCTGGGTCCTCATCTATCTGGGATACAGCAGGCAGGTTTCATCTGCTCACCAACCTCTGAGGCTAGATGGCCAGGCTAGGAAGCTTGGCAGGGAGAGGGCCAGAATCCCCGAGCAACATCTCCGCAAATGAGGAAGACTACAAAGGAGGACGTAAGGTATTTGCCCAACTTGCCTCTGGAACAGAGGTCTAAGCCCTATGGGGTGCAGGTCTCTCCCCCAGTGCACAAAATGTGAGCTTTCTGGCCTGAGGGGATTTCTAGGAAAGGTGAAGGGAAGGAGGCCTTGCTCAGTTTCCTCAGTCACCTGTGCAAGTGTAAGCCCCAGGCCACTTGCCTGACCCCATGGGTTCCCCCAACACTGCTCCACATTCGGGACTATGCGTGTGGACAATGGGGAGGAAGAAAGGAAGAGCCTCCAGAGTTTAGGGTCAGGGAGGGAAGACCCACAGGCAGGCAGCAGAATGGGGGCCAAGCCTGGAGGCCGAATTCAGCCAGGTGGTGGTACCCTGTCCCCATTTCACCGCAGAAGCACATGGGAGACCGGAGAAAGACTGCAGAGCCATGGGGAAAGATTACAATCATGGATGCCAAAGTGATTTTGGTCAAAGCCACTCCAGTCTCAGAAAGGTCTGAGTTTTCCCCTGGCCAGGACACACCCTCAGTCCGGTCCTCCTGTGCCCTCGCAGGCAGTGTCTCAAGGTGTGGGTTAGTCTATAGTGGGTCATTATTTAAAAAACAACAAAACAAAAAAACAAAAACCAACAGAGTGGGGTATGGCTAGACAAAGTGACAGAAGGAAATGCCAGAGATTATCGCAGGTGTTGTTTGGTGAATCTTTATGGGCACTCAGTGGCGATGCAAGATGTATTTCATTCAAAAAGATTTGAAAGAGATATATTTTTTTTAAGGAGGCCATTTCTAGAATGGGACATCTTACATAGTGCTCTATGTTAATTCTGGTAGAGTTTAAATCAGCAATCCTATAAAGAAAGAAAGCACTTGCTGAAATTTATTTTAAAAGGAAGACCCTTTTTATTAAACTTGCACATTTTCTTCTCTTCCTTTCAAAATCCTAAAAAAAAAATTTTCTGTTTACAAAAACAAAACAAAACAAAAACACATACATCAAACAAAGGAAACTATGAAGACATTACTTTTGCGGTGGGAAAGGACACTACAGGATTCCATGTAATCCCAAAAAACTAAGACCTGGAGCAGAGAACTAAAGTGAAGAACAGCCGACTCTGGCCTGGGGCCAGACCACGTGCAGTGTGAGGCAGAGCCCTCCTCCGAGAAGGTTCTCAAAGCAGACCCAGCCAGGACAGCAGAAGCCCCCTCACCTTCTGGAGTAACAAACAGACCTGAAGCCCTAATGATCGTACAAGCACAAACCAATCACTCTATTTTAAAAAGCACATACACACATGCTACACTTGTCTCCCCTCCCTCCCCAGGTTTTCGCCATCTGCAGAGAGGCCCGAGGAAGGGCGGCCTCTGGCTGGCAGGGCCTTCACAGGACGTAGGTGTTCTTCACCAGGTGCTCCTTGTCATCCCCAGTGCTCCAGACGGTGCGGAGGGTGCGCTCCTGGTTCCTCCGGGCCACCCGGATCAGGCAGACCACAGAGGCGCCCAGCAAGACGATCAGGACCATCACGAAGAGCCCCACGAGGACCACCACTGGGGAGCAGAGAAAGGCTTCAGAACCGGAAGGGCGAGGAGAAGCACAGCCAGCGCGTAGCCGCACGGGGCACACACAGGACTCATGCACGCGGGCTCAGGGCAAGGACCAGCAGCCATTGTGCCAGACCTCCCTGGACCCCAGCCCCGGAGGGTCTGGAGGAAGGACACCGCCTGCCTGAGGAGTCTTCAAGGAGTCTACAGTCCTGAGGAGGAGGTTACTGAGAAAAGGAGGTGCCGTGCTATGTGCACCCAGTAGCTGTGTGTGTTCTCTCTTTCTGAACAAAAAAATCCCACTTCCACTCTGTACTTCCACCTCTCGGGGGCAAATCGTGCAGGAATCCAAAGCCTCCAAATGGGTACCAGGATGTAAAAAGCACACACCTCTGGCTCATGTGTAAACATAAAACACTGAGGTTTTGTGTTCACACAGCACAGCTTGTGTAGGCATCAGCTACGATGCCTTCCTTCAGGTGGGGCTGTAGCTAAGAATGTGGCCTGCTGTGCCAGCACCCCGGCTCCCTCTCCCACGTGAAGCCATGTGGCTACAGAATGGACAGGGGCTGTTCTTTCTCCACCCGCAACCCTCCATGGCTGAGCTGCTTTCTGCCCCGTGCCTAGCAACCCAGATTCCAGCTTCGCTGGTCTAGAACAGAGCAGACAGATGTGCAGGCCAGATCTGGGCTCCTGAACAGGAAAACAGGTGTAAAGAGGCCAAACCAGTGTGGCCAGTCCTTGTGCAAACACCATCATCCATGACTCAGGCAAATCAGAAACAAAAGCGAGAGGCGGCCCAGGGTCTTGTCAGACCAGCCTGCTTGGGGACAACAGCATTGGCCCTGCCTGGCTCAGCCCACACATAGTAAGGGCTCTCCAACTTCCTGTCACCCACGAGCAACTCCGCACACCCCTCAGCAGCTAAGTTCCCTCCAAACCTAGAGACAGCCTGAGGCCTGTGTGCAGCAGAAGGCATAAGCCCAACAGTAGGACTTGTCTTCCAGTCACCCCGGGGCTGCCCAAGTGGAGACTGCCTTCCTCCAACTCCTCTGCCTCATTTACTACAATGCGTGGCAGGACAAACATCCACCATATGTTTCAAGCTGCCTGACCGTTCTCATGCAGAAACAGGACTTTCAACCCAAAAGGGGTTTACAGTGAAGGATTATGTGTCAGAGACAACAGGAGCCTGCAAAAACACAGCTGAGCTTAGTCAGGGCAAGCAGGTGGAGGAGGGCCGGAGGCCTCTTACCTTTAGAGCCACGGGGGAGGAAAGGGTACAACTGCTTGCCTGGAAAAGAACACATAACACCAAGGTCAGCTCATGGTCCTCCTGCCCTCCAGAGCTGCCACCAACCAGGGGTTCACAGGAGGCTCTGAGGGATTTCTTCCAGCTCTTTTGAGGTTCTGAGGCTTTACTATCCTGGTGGGGACCTAGAACATGTCTGTGCAACAGCTGGGCCCAAAGCCCACCTCTTCCCCACAAGGGAGCCAGAGAATGGTAGCGTCCAAATGGCAGCACTGCTGAAGTCTTCTTTTAGGGACAGGGCAATGGACCCATGTCTTCTCAAGGGGCCTCGTCCACACACCACTGTCTGTTGCATTTAGGAATCAGGCAGGCTCACCAAGGCAGTGGTGCATGCACTCCTCCTCAGAGAGGTAGCTGTTTTTATTGCCCCGGCACCCTCCGTAGATGAAGCTGTCACAGGAGTTCTTCTCTGCATCAAAGTACCAGCGTGGGAAGGACGCGCGGCAAGGCCCAGTGACTGCTTTGGCAGTGCAGTATTCTGGGAACGACACAACCCAAAGAGTACGAGTTAGCAGGGCTCAGATGTGAAGTGGAGCTGGAATGTTCCCGAACAGTCACACTGCTACCAGCCAACAGAGAAACAGCTCTCTGCCAAAGGACTTGTAAATTACAGACAGGGCTAGTCTGGCCCACTTGACAGTCCTCTATGTTTTGGGGGAATCTTTCTCTTTACAGCCAGATTCCCGTCAGTAAGGAGATCACGCTGTCAAGCACCATTCTAGGCACTGCACATATATTAACTTGGTCCCTAAGAGATCTGTTGTGAGCAGCTCATTTCATACTCGGGAGGCAGATGCAGGCCTCTGCCCGCTGCCACACAGCTGGGGAGAGGCAGAGCCACCCCACCAGACTGCCTCTCCGAAGCCAAGCTTCACCGCCCACGTGTGCCACAGCCACTTCCAGCAGCCCTGGGGCATGCTTCTGAGTTCTACTGCCTGGGAGAGGTCAGGAAGCTCTGCTCTACACCTTCCTTAATGGAAATACTCAAGTGTGTCTCAATTCCCAACTAAGAAAAAAAAAACACATTTTTCCCATACACAAGTATTTTTAAAAAGTTATACCTTCGTAGTCAAAAATGTCACTGGAGAGGTCATCAGAATCCTGCCTTCTGGAAACTAAAACAGAAACATCCAAGTCAGGGAGGCTGGGATGGACACAGTACATGGGGACTAGCAGGGCCCACTAAGGAAGCACGGACACTCTGGCACCTAGAAGTGGAGTCCCCTCCTTGGGTAGGTCTGTCGCCTCCCAGGCCTCACAGGTTCTATCATACACACTGCAATGAATGCTGGATGGGGAGGCCTGCCTGTCGCCTCAGGGGTTACCAAGGGAACTCATCCCGGCCACAATTTCTGGAGTGATGAGCAAGATGGTCTTGTTCACTCTCTGACATAGTGAGGAGCACCCTCCTGTAGATACTTTCTTCTACAACAGGATGGAAACTAGAGAGACCATGCCAATGCCTGAGGTTCTAGATGACCCTGGAGGCCAGCTTGGGAATAAAGAGTGAACCCAGGCAAAGCAATGGTCAGGACAGTCAAAGGATTCCTGGCCTAGGACAACTCAAGAGTGACTCGAACAAGCCAGCAAACCACTGACCAAATAAATGCTCACTCTCACCTGAGCACTGGTGCCAGAACCAGAGGACCAAAGTCAAGGCTGCAATCAGTGCAGAGCCAATGGCCAACTGGGTTGGGGGGGGGTGCGGGGGTGCTGCCCTCAAATGGGACAGGGGCAGATTCCCTCCCTCCACAGCAGGTCTTGCCCAGTAGAGCCCACTGCCTGGGAACTGGCCTTCAAGAAAGCTGGGCTGGACTTGCCAGTGCATTTGCACCACTCACCCCAGGTTCCTGATGCATGCAGAGTCCTTTAAGCATAAAGGAGGAATGGGGCAGCTGTTGTCAGCACTACAAAGCAAGCTAACACAAAGCTCGAGATCAAGGACTGCCCTGGGAATGGAGGCGGGGTGGCAGAAGACAGAGGACTCCGTATGGGGAGGGGGACAGAAAGGACAACCAAGAACAAAGGAGACAGATGAGGCAAGGAGAGGCAGGGAGGGGCAGTGAAGACAACACAGCAGGCAGAGGCCAGGGGACTTGAGGCCTGGCCAGCCCAGAGAGACGGAAGGGTTCTGAGCCGCAGGTAGCAGCAACAGCCACAATCCCTTCTTTCCCAGGAGGAAGCAGAGCAAGCCGGAAGCCCCATAGCGCCCTTGGGCCCCCTCATCCGATGGAGTGTGAACTCCCTGGTGAGAGGACACCAGCCAGGAGCTAGAAGCTACTGCCCAGGCAGAGCCCCAGACAGGGAGGTGGAAGCCCTCACACAACTCCCAAATTACAGATGTCCTTCCGTGGTCCAGATGGCCCTCATTCTATCCTACACTGCTTTAAGAACCTACCACTTGGGACAGAGGAATCCGCTCCATTCCTCCTGGTGGCCAGCTCATCAATGGTGTTCTCTGCGAGGGGACAAACACAATGAGAAAGTGCACGTCAGGAATGCGCCATGACACAGAACAGGCAAAGTCCTCTGAGCCGCCATGGTCCCAGGTGCCTCTCACCGAGACTCCCGTTTCTCCTTTATGTGGGCCCTTTGATGTACATGCTGGACCACAAGCCTGCAAGAACTTGGAAATAAGGAACCAAGACGGCCCCTGTGGGCTCAACTTTAAGATCCGTCACTGGTAATCAGAGCAAAGATGCATGAAATGACTTTAAAAAGACAGACTGGGGAGCGCCTGGGTGGCTTAATGGGTTGAGCCTCTGCCTTAGGCTCAGGTCATGATCTCAGGGTCCTGGGATCAAGCCCTGCATCGGGCTCTCTGCTCAGTGGGGAGCTTGCTTCCTCCTCTCTCTCTGCCTGCCTCTCTGCCTACTTGTGATCTCTATCTGTCAAAAAATAAAAAAATAAAAAATAAAAAGACAGAATGGCTTCCAGGGCCAAATAATCTGCTTAACTGTATTCACTCACCCAATGAATTAAGAAAGTGAGGTATGTAGTAGTCTGAACATACTTCATGCCACCGAACTGTGGGAAATAGGAAAATTTTAAGCTACGTCTATTTTTTGCTAACATACACATGAAGTGATGGGGTGGGGTGGAAAGGCCAGCCAGCGAAGGAGGTACAAAAAGGGAAGCATTGGCAGGGTCCAGAAGGACAGGACCTGGCTCCCCTGCCTCCCAGAGGTTCCCAGCAGACCCAGGGCAGAGGCACGGGGCCGGCATCACCTGACGCCACTGAACATCCATATCACAAGTCCATGCCCCTCGCTCCACGCCTCTGCACAGCCAGCAATTTTCTGGGAATCTGGCCGTGCGGTTTGCCTGCACGGAGCAAAGGTACAGCCGACTCAGAGACGTGAATGTTGGGTCCCCTGGGTAGTTCTGGTTCTCATTATAAATTAATAAACTGACATTCTCATGATATTGGCTTCCCACAGAGGGTGCCTGCTTGGGAGAGAATATGCTGGCAAAAGACTCCAGCGACTGGTTCCTCCTCCCAAACCCGTGGGTGAGCTTCCATGAGACATGCAGTGGGGCCACACTTGGGTGCCACACAGGAGATCTCTGGGGCCCTGGACCACGGACCACCTCTCCAGCAAAACACAACAACATGTGACCCTTTGTAGCAACATCCTGTTGGAATGCCCACTGTTCACTGCCTATGTTCTTAAAACTTCAACCATTTTCCTGAAAAGTAAGGAGAAACTAAAACAGGCAGACACATTTGCTACAGATAACTCTTAATGGAGAAGGAAGAGAAAAGGTAGCAAAAATATTTCCCTTTAATTCCTGCTCCCATACCGGAGTCACAGCAGACAACAAAAAAACCAGTAAGTATTTTCCTCAGTCACCATCTGTTAAGGTTACCCCCCAAAAGGTAAGGGACTTGGCTGTATGATCCCAAAGTAATACCCGGCCACCACAGTTTTCTAAATACTTACTGAATGTCTGCGGGGCAGTGCAACACAAAGATCAACAAAACATTCCTCGAGGTGCTCCGTCACTCTGGGCTTGTGTGCTCGAGCACCGTTTTGAACCTCAGGCCACAGCCAAGGCCCACTGCTGTTTACCCCTCTCCGTTTACAACTTTAATAAGCATATCTGCTTTCTGAACACAGAACTCAAAGCCAAGGGAGATTAAAGCCAGTGTGTGAGGAGACATAAAACCCAACAAGGCTGCAGGCCCATCTCTAGAGCAGGGATCCCAGGACCCCAGGATCATGACTCGATCCGAAAGCAGACACTTAACCGACTGAGCCACCCAGGCACCCCAAGTATGTTCCAGTTTTAATCTGACTCATAGTTTGGCTGGCTGGGTAAGCTCAAGTCATTTGTCCCAGAAGTAAAAATAACCCAAATGCCCAGGGAGCAGGTGGGCAGCCTGATGGCCTGGAGGACTCCCCTCTTCTAGGTGGGACTTACGCTCAGCAGGGGGAGAAAGGAAGTCAAGGCAGCCATGTCCCCTCCCCCCAGCTCCAGCCTGTGGTCTACTCTCCTTTCTGGGAAGAAGAGGGAGAAGACCGCTATGAAACCACCGTGTGGGCGACCTTCAAACTGCGCCTGTTTCTTCTGCTTTTTAAAAACATCCCTCAAGTTCAGCCAGGAAGAAAGAGCACAAGGCAAAAGGCATCACATCCCAGTTAATAAATGATCTCTAGGTTATACCATTTCCCCAGGGAATAATGTCTTACCTGTGACACCAGCACATTTCTCAAGACAGTCCTCTTCGGTCATGTAATTATTTTTATTCCCGTCACAGCCACCATACACAAACTGCCGGCAGGACCCCTCAGTGACGTTGTACCACCATCTAGGGAAGGAGGCCCGGCATCTTCCCACTTTCTTCGGAACTCGACAAAAGTCTAAAACACAAAGCAGAGACCAGTTGGCTTGGCAGGGCAATCTTGCCAACAAAGACGCACAGACCTACAGGAGGAGGCCCCCAGTTTTCCTGAACCCCAAGATCCAGCACAGCTTCTCTGCGAGCCCCTTCTTAAGTGCAGCCACCAGCCTTAGCGACTCCTTCCTTGTATAGGCAAGAAACACATCATCTAACAACAAAGATACCAACCCACCCAATTTAACTATATTACAGTTGCATGTTCCTTCTGTCTCTGCTCCTGATTATTAAAGACACACAACATCCAGTGTAGAAATAGGCCTTCGAAGGCAAAAAACCCACACCAGACGCTAAGGGGGAACTTAGCACTGAAGGATGTGTCTTAACCTTCCTTATCCACTGTTTGACCAGGTCAGCCACTTCACCCTCAAATTTCCACAAGAGCCTCATAAAGAAGCTCCTCACTCTACCCCTCCCGCCTCCCAAGGCAACTGACAGCACGCCTCTGCTCCAGGCTTTTATCTGAACATTCCAAGAGGAGCCCCCAAATCGGACCCTACTCTAGACAAGGGAAACAAACCAAAAAATGTTATAAAATTCCAGCCAGCTACATCTGCCTCCGAAAGGCCTAGACAGCTCCTGTCTCTTAAGAAGGTAGAGATAGGGACACCTGGGTGGCTCAGTGGGTTAAAGCCTCTGCCTTTGGCTCAGGTCATGATTCCAGGGTCCTGGGATTGAGTCCCACATCGGGCTCCCTGCTCAGCAGGGAGCCTGCTTCCTCCTCTCTCTCTCTGCCTGCCTTCTCTGCTTACTTGTGATCTCTGTCAAATTTAAAAAAAAAAGAAAGAAAGAAAGAGATAAGCAAGTGCTGGAGGTACATCGTCTGCACCAAAGACAGACTTTCTCCTGGAGGAATCAGAAGGATAGAAAGCAAGCTGAAAAGGGAGTGACCCAACTACGTGACTCACCGTCTGCCCAGTACCACAGTACCACCCTATCTCTTCTGGGATCGTGAGTCTACATCACCTCCCCTACTTCCCTGGCCTCCACCCATCTCGTCTTCTGCCACAAGGGCATTGCAATCTGAGCAGGATGCTTAATAATCAGCTCAAATAAAAGTACCCCAGGGCCCAGCACTTGGTTATATGCTGTCATTTACTCCTAATTATTTTCATGTTTGTGAGATTTACTTCACTAACTAGGGGACAGCTTTTGAAAGCAGAGGGCAAAATCTTGTTTCTCCTAAAATATAACAACGGGCATGAAACCAAATGTTCCACAAAACATCGATTTATGGACAAAAAGGTTGTAGTACTGAGCAAAAACCTTAAGGAAGGGGCGCCTGGGTGGCTCAGAGGGTTAAGCCTCTGCCTCCAGCTCAGGTCACGATCTCAGGGTTCTGGGATTGAGCCCCACATCGGGCTCTCTGCTCAGCAGGGAGCCTGCTTCTTTCTCTCTCTCTCTCTCCTCCTGCCTCTCTGCCTACTTGTCGTCTCTGTCTCTCTGTCAAATAAATAAAATCTTAAAAATAAAAAACAAAACCTCAAGGAACTCTCACACACACCAATAAACCACAAGAAACTAGTATAGCAGAGAATGCATATTCTGAACTTAAACTTTCTGTTAATTTGAAAGCAACCATCCTTTAAATCACCAATTAAAAAGTACCTTATCTGGATATTTCATATGAATATGAATATTTCATATGAATCATTTAATATGTCCAGAAAAGGGAACTCAAGAGAGACAGGAAGTAGATTATTGTCTGCCTAGGGCTGTGGGGTTGGGGGATGGTGTGAACTGCACACGGGCACAGGGATCTTTTGGGGATGATGGAAATGTTCTAAAATTAGGTTGTGGGGATGGTTGTACAGCTCTGTAAATGTACTAAAACTCACTGGATTGTATGCTCAAAACAACTGACTTTATGGTATGTGAATACTTTAATAAAGCAGTTTAAGAAAAAACAGGGGCATCTCCTGTCCATAACACATTAACCAGGATGAGCTAGGTGTGCACCTGGAGCAGATACTTTTGACAACATGCCAAAGGTCAAACAACACATCATCATCAAGGCCCAAGGAAAACACTGTAGGAAAAGGGTTCTCTGGTGTAGAATTTACTCAATCCCGGCTGTCAAATGTAAGCCAGCACTGCTGTTAACAGCAAGACAAGACGGAGCAGAGCCACACAACAAACCACATGTGACCCAAAGTGAAAACAACCTAGAGGCCGCTGGGGGGGTGGCGGTGGTAGGGAGACACAGACACAGGCCCTGACTGCTACAGAGGTAACAGCCTATCCAACGCCCTGCCAAGCTGAGCGCCTGCAACTCACCCGGACTGCTTGGTGTCCCTGCTTCCCGAGCAGTTTCAGGGACAGTCTTTCAGACAAAAAACCCGAGAGAAGCACTGCACACTCTAAATGGGTGAACTGTATCACAGGTGAACTACATCTCAAAACAAAACCCCGAGAGAATGCCCAACGAGGCTCGAAGCAGCTTAGGTGGGACCCACCAGACAACGCCACAGCACAGAAGGCCACAGGCTGACCACCTACCTCGTCAAGGGTGGAAATTCGGTAACTTTTCCTAAAGCAAGGGGGCCAGGTACACGCTCTATGCAAGGCTGAGGGTATATAAAAAGGAGAAAAAAACCTCTCTAGGGCTGGAGAGCATTTAGCTTAGTGAAGTCACACTGCCCAGAATCTGGCCCTCATCTCTGTCTCTCAGACACTTAACTCATGGAGGCCCAGCTGACCAAACGCAGGGATGCGGTCACCGGCTGACAGAGCACGTAGGAGGATGCCGGGAAAGAACGGTCAAGCAGCTTGGATGTACCGGTCAATGAGCAGACCACCTCAGAAAGCAGGCAGAAACGGAGCCCGTCCCTTGGAGTCAGAGTAAGGAGAAGTGTGCTGTGAGTTTCCCTCCTCCACTAGGACCTACCAAGAAGGCCAGAGGCTCCCAGGAAACAACTCAGGACACACAGTCAAGATACCAGTCAAGGTATGTCTCTGGGACACTTCTTTTCCTGACTGGAACATTCTTCCAGTAGATGTGATGGTCTCTTTACAACAAACCCTGTAGGCCTAGGAGGCCACTAAGTCCCAGAGAGCAGCTCTCATCTGTTCTTAATGACACATTGACTTCACAGTTGAAGTTTCAGAAAACAGCCTTATTTTTAGGTTCCCTGGGTGGGGTAGGAGGAGATGGGGAACACGGGACGGGAGGGACACTTTACTTTTGTCACAGGGCAATTTAGAAATTTCTCTTTTTTTTTTAAGTAGGCTCCACACTCAGCGTGGGGCCCAACATGGGGCTTGAACTCACAACCCTGAGATCAAGACTGATCAAGAGTCGGATGCTTGGGGCGCCTGGGTGGCTCAGTGGGTTGAGCCTCTGCCTTCGGCTCGGGTCATGATCCCAGGGTCCTGGATCGAGCCCCAATCGGGCTCTCTGCTCAGCGGGGAGCCTGCCTTCCCCTCTCTCTCTCTCTGCCTGCCTCTCTGCCTACTTATGATCTCTGTCAAATAAATAAATAAAATCTTAAAAAAAAAAAAAAGAGTCGGATGCTTAACTGACTGAGCAACCCAGGTGCCCCTAGAAATGTCTCTTTATTGAGAGAGAACTTGACTAAAAACACAATATGCCTGTAAAGACAGAATGTTGACAGTTGCTGAAGCTAAGTAATGAGCCATGTGGGCTCACAGAACTGTGTGTATATTTGAAAACTTCTATTAAAAAAAAAAATCTTATCTGTTCTTTTCACACAAATTTGATTAGAGTGTAACTAAGAGCTCCAAGTAGTAGAATAATCAGCTGAAGCTAGGTTCCATCAAGGTGAAATTTAACCAAGTGTCAAGTGTTAAGACAATGTCCTTGGGGTGCTCAGTCGTTATATGTCTGCCTTCCGCTCAGGTCATGACCCCAGGGTCCTGGGATCAAGCCCCACATTGTGCTTCCTGCTCTGAAGGAAGCCTGCTTCTCCCTCTCCCACTCCCTGTGCTTGTGTTCCCTCTCTCACAGTGTCTCTCTCTGTGTCAAATAAACAAACAAAATCTTAAAAAAAAAAAAAAAAAAATCCTTTCTCTGAGTCTGGAAACTCCCTGTGAAATGGAGAAAATTCTCATTTTGCCCTATGCTTTTAAGACTCTATGACAGAAATTTTCACTGTTTAGACTTAAGTGAACTCATGAAAAAGCATTTTGGTTTTGTTTGCTTGTTTGTTCCAAAGAAGACAGTGTCCTTTCAGATGCACAGGCCACACATTCTTCAATTCACCTCCACCCCAAAGAGCATCAGTGCACTCTCCTTCACTGCTCTCCAAATGGCTTGTACAAAAAGTCAGAAATACTGTGATATGTAACACGGCTTCCGTGAGTTAGCATTTTCCTTAAAGGCTTTTTTTTTTCCCCCCTCAATTAAAGCACTGTACTTTGGTAGATCCAGATTAAAATAAAAATGAACCAAAATGGGGGCACCTGGCTGGTGAAGTCAGTACAGCATGTGACTCTTGATCTCAGGGTTGTGATATCAAGCCCCAAGTTTGGTGTAGAGATTACTTAGAAATAAAATCTGAAGGTAAAAAAATAAGAAAAAGAACCAACATGCTGAGCATTACTTATGTCTTGAAACCCCTCTGCTACCTTCAGTAAAGCATTACACTAGGCACATTATGTGCACTATTTCTAACAGTCACACTGAAACTGCAGATCATGTAGTAACTCGCTCACTTTACAAATGAGGACACCAAGGCTTGGGGTGGTTAAGTCAACCAGAAGCAGAGCTGAATCTGAATTCACACTGGTCCCATTATAGCTGGGCATTAACATGACAACCCCTCCCTCAGACAGAGAGAAAAAGGCAGTATAGTAACACGCGGTGGGAAAACATGAAACTGAAGATGCCTAAAAACCAAAACATTCCTCAGGGCCCTTAACGCGATCTGAGGACTCAACAGGCCAGGCCCTTTGCTGGCCCTGTTTATAGTCACTCAATGACAAGGTCTTGGACAGCACCAC